TGGGACCTGGTACTTGAGGCAGGCACCGGAACCACTGAGCTAAATCCCCAGCCTCTCAAATATATACTTCTTTATGTCAGATTCTGAGGTGGATTTTCCACAAGTTTATTCACACTTACTATTTGGGTAATAATAGAGCATTTTCATGCCTATGATTGGGGTGATAGAATGAGAGGAAGCAGCATGGGCAGAGGGAGAACTATTGCAACACTAGGTTTTCTCATTCTTAACATCTGCTTGTTTTGCACCCTGCCATGCTTGGGGGACTCCCACATTGGAGATAGTGTTTTTTTGCTCTTGCAGCCACTGAGAATATTCTGTGCCCTCTTTCCCAGCCTCTTTTGCAGTGGTAACACATCTGTGGCTGAGGATCCTCTTTTCAGATAAACCCTCCCAGAGCTTGGCATCAGGAGTGTGTAATTCCAGGCAGGAAACACGGGGAATGCTTTCTCCCAGTGGAGGATGTTGCAATACTGCTGAGCTGTGCAGGAAGTCAAGGTGGTGGGAACAGTTGGGGGCTTGGGTTTGGTTCAGCGCAAATGGCATCAGCAGTGTGAACTGCAAGTTGGTGCAGAGCTGAAACAGATATCCTGTGTTAATTACACTACATAATACAGTAGGAGCTGGAATTCCAGACTGCATCATCCCCAAGCCTAGTTCTCCAGTCCTCTTGCTTTTGCCACCTAAAATTCTGTCCATCCTCTAAATATTTTTTCATGTGGTAAAATATAAATGACAAAACTAACTATTTTAAGCAACTTTTATTATTTCAGTGTCATTATGTACATTCACAATGTTGGGCACCAGCAGCACCATCAATTTTTAGAATATGTTCCTCTTCCCAAGCAGAATTATCTTTCCCCACTAAAGAGTAACTAACTACTTGTTACTCTTGCCTGGTGCCACCTCTAGTCTACCTTTTGTTGCTGTGATTTTGCCTATTCTAGCTCCCTTGTCTAAGTGGTATAATATAAAATATTTCCTTCTATGTGTCTGATTTATTTCCCATAATGTAATATAATACATTTCTTTGGCACACTGGTTTTTTTTGGTATCAGGAATTGAATTCAGGGCCTCAGGTTTGCCCGTCAGGCACTGTGCTGCTGAGTTACATCCCCGGCCCTGGCACACCTATTTTTAAGCTGATCACCTTGCATACTCTATTTATAGTATTTTAGAGCATTTCATGCAGAATGATTGCCATCCTCTCCTTAACAAGAACTACCTCCGGGGTACTTTGGGAACAACCATCCTAGCATCTGTGTCAGTACAGTGTTGAAACCTCAGTGTGTACTTGTGATGAGGATGACAATTCACAGACATTCAGAACTTTATCTAAGTGAAAAGTAAAGTGATGAAAATATGACTATAGGTAACAGTCTCCTTCTAATGTCCCAATACCTTCTTTCTTTTTGAGAAAGAAGGTATCTACCCTGAACTGCAAAAATTTCTGGTTTTTTTTTTTAATCATAGAGAAGGCTACAGTTTAGAGGCCAAGTGTTATAACTCAGTAGACAGCATTTTTTTCCTTTGTAAGTCAATGCATGTCACCCAGTTGGCCTTGTAAACTCTTTAACTGCAGCAATATAGCTTTCTTAGGATTGTGTGTCTTTCAAGTTGCACAACCATAATTGACATGCAGGATCCAATTGTATGCAAAGCTCTTTAGTTTTTTATGAAACAGCAAGCCTGGGAAGATCCATTAAAAACCTGAAGTCTCAGATGGGAAACAAGAAAAAGTTGAGGGAAAATATAGTGAAAATATGAGAAGAAAATAAGAAGACATGGAAAATATTTTTTTGTTGTGAGAGGGTACACCCCAGACAAAATGAAATTATATACAGTCCTTACCTGGCTTTGCCAATAACTATTTTTAGCCTTAGACAAATAATATAAATTCCTTGAGCATATTCCCATTTATCCATGTATAAGATGGAATTAAGAATCCATGGGCTGTCAATATCCAAAGGGGTACTGTAGTTTGGGCATTGAAAGACAGTATGAAGAAGAGAAAAGACAAACATGTACATGGTCAAGAAAGGTAGGTATTGTGTGTTGATCAGCGGCCTATCAGAAGGATAACTATT